ATCATTACAGGTCAATATTGCAAGAGCAATAACAGTGTAGAGTTCACACTTCCATTAGGTACTTGCTATGGGCTAAGTACACAGTTCTAAACCTTACGTATTGTACACGACGACATTATGAAATGGTATTATGTCCTTTTAAAGATGATGACACTGAGGCTCAGATAAGTTAAAACACATATCCAAGCTGACGTCGCTTATACACAGGTGAACCCGGACGGCTTGATGCCAGACCCCATGCTCCTAACCACCCTCCTGAGAGTGGGGAGGGCGCTGAGGGAACGGGGCCGGCAGTCTCACAGGCTGCTCTGCTTGCTGGGTGTCCAGAACCTGAAGTGAGACGCTTCAACTTAATCTCCTGTGAGAGCAGATCTTAGAAAGCCACACGGCAACAATGACAATTGGGCCACACTGTCAGACCTGTTCTTCTATCCCTGCGCTGAACAGTGTGCATGGCACTCTATGATGCTGTATTTCAGGAAAAACACCTTCACAACAGGCAGCAAGACAGTTTTGTTCCTACCGAAGTGCTTCCTTGCCCAAGTCGCACTGAAACGGATTCAAATACCACCTCACGGAGAATAGTCTGGAACTAACCAGAAATCTGATTTTCAGAATTTGCATGATTAAGGGTTAGTAAATGGTCTCAATTGATCTTAAGCCAATTACCTGTTTCAGTGTGACTTCACAGACACTCTGGAGTAAACTATATAGATGATGGAGTAGACATTTCAGCAGGCTTCCACCCCGAATGACGGTATAATAGAAACCCACCCCGGATGACAGCATATCGGAAACCCACAGTGTGCAAGACACCCTGCTGCTTCCAGTGATGGCTGGGGGAACGCGGTTTCCCAAGAAAAACCTTCACCTGGCCTTGAACGTTCTGAGGCCGCAGCGGACCATTAAAGGTCTCTCACCTGACACAGTAGGCAAACACACAGAGCAATTCCTAGTGCTTCACTTTGGGGCCACGGTGGTAAGTACAGTGAAACGAAGACAACAGCCCGCATGTTTCTATGTTCCCCTTACCACCGGGCTCGGTTTGAGTGATCCCTTGCTGGTACTAAACCTTCACCAAATAGTCTCCCTCCTGGGCTTCTTTCAAGGACCAAGTATTTCCCGCACATTGGATCGTGTCAAAGATTAACTCAGAGCCGGTGTGAACCCGTCTCGATTGTTCTCAGAGGGCTACTGCTCCCTCGTGAACACACCTTGAAAGGCAAGCAGAAGGTGAGTTCCTGGGAAAAGGGCCTTTGTGTGGAGTTCTAGCTTAGCGTTTCTCACCAAGTCCAACAAACATATTGCGTAAGAGGAAAAGGCAGGTGAATTATCAAACTTAGTTAATTATCCCATTCCACTTAAATTCTTTAAGAACTAAGTAAAACTGTTGCAACCCCCCCCCTTTTTTTTTATCCTCACCCAAGGATATTTTTTCCATTGATTTTTAGAGAGAATGGAAGGGAGGGGGAGAGACATAGAGAAACACAGATGTGAGAGAGACACATGAATTGGTTGTTTCCCACATGCCCTTGACCAGGACCAGGAGCCTGCAACCAAAGTACATGCCCTTGACCAGAATCGAACCCAGAACCCTTCAGTCCACAGACCGACACTCTATCCACTGAGACGAACTGGCTAGGGCTATTGCAATCACTTTTATCTTTTTTAAAATTTACAGTTTAAGGCCAGATGTCTTCTCCCTTTGTGAAAATATGATGTTCAACATTAGGAGTCCACATATTTCCAAGATGATATTTTTTTAAATTGATTTCAGAGAGGAAGGGAGAAGGAGAAAGAGTAGAAATATCAATGATGAGAGGGAATCATTGACCGGCTGCCTCCTGCATGCTCCACACTGGGGATCGAGCCCACAATCCAGGCATGTGCCCTGACCGGGAATTGAAACGTGACCTCCTAGTTCATAGACTGACGCTCAACCAACTGAGCCGGGCCAAGACAGTATTTTCTTTAAAAACAA